CGTGCTGGCCCCATAAGCTGCAAGGCAGGCACTGCTCCCCGTAGGACTAGCTTACTGCACTTGGTTTTCACAGGGTTTGCCCCCTAAATGCTTGATTTCTGTAGGATATCAGCATTCCACCTCCGGCCTAACAGTTAAAATTGTAATTTAAATGATACGACTTTATTTTGTGTCTCAAGGGGAAACTTGTTCCTTTAGTATAGATAATGGTAAGATACTATAGTAGTATAGTATAGTTGAACCTCCAAAATAACCTGACTTTGGGGAGGAGGAGGAGGATATTGAGGGGCAAAGAATTAAATAGAAATAAGAGCTTATAGACTCTTATTGCAGTGCAGATTTCCATTATTTTTGTAAGTCTGTGTCGGCTAACACCCAGAGCAATAATATTTTCTTATATCCAGAAAAAACTTGATGGATCTGTGTGATTTAATATGTGCACTTAAGATATGTGTCACTGTCCATAAATTATGGTACTACATATCCAGTTTAGTGTTGCACAGTTCCAACTAAGAATAAATTTGATTAAAAACATTGATTAAAAAAAAATTCTGTCCCCAGCACAGATGTTTTGCACTTTTTTAGCATCTGACACTCTCAAAGCACTTTATGCACATATATATTTGTGTGGGTTTTAACTGAATTTATAAATTCACTGCATAATTTTTACAGAATGAAATAAAGTCCTTAACTTCTATATGATACAGCATTTCTTAGCTGCAAAAACATGCATGTGCTTTATTTCTGCAAAATATATTCAAAATGTGGTAGCATGCTTATAGGAATTTCTGCTGGTTAGAAAAAAAAACATTAGTGAAGCAAAAGTAGAATTTTCTCTTTTTTTTTTCTTTTTTGGTCAAACCTAGTTAAGGTGTATTAAGAAAAAAATGAAACTCTCAAAGTTGGTATTCAAAGTGGTAAGGGTATTAGAATTGTAAATAACCTTAATAACCTTTAAGTGATGACATGACAAACTATCCTGGTGCAATTCCCTTGTGACAGTGTTATACTTAGAATATATTTTATATATATATAATGTAATACTTAGGCTGTGCTTATTTAAAAAAAAAAAAAAAAGGAAAAAAAAAAAAGATAGTGGTTCCAGCTTTATTTTCTTGTGATGAGTTTCATACCAGATGTCTCTAGTTTACTAGCCAAAAATCATATATGAGAATTGAGATGTTGTTTGTGCCTCTAACATGCTTCTACCAGGATAAAGATTTTAAGCCCAGCTCTGGTGTGCAGCTGTGTTAGCAGGGAGGGTACTGTGGTATCTCATCTATCTTTCACTCCTGGTTTTGCTCTGCAGTGCAGCCCGGTCTGTCTCCCACCCGTATCATGAGGCAGGTGTCCGTAGCCCCGCGGTGTGTCAGGTTAGGGGTGTTATCCGCGTGCCGTAGGGGTTTCTGGCTGCTCTGGGCTGGCAGCGAGGGCACCGAGAGCCTGCCCGTGCCTCAGACACCCCTCGGCTTGACAGCCCATTCTGGGTCTTCTGAGATCCCATTTTTCTCTGCCTTATATAGAGTTCTGGAAGTAACATCAGTAAAATAGTATTGCTCTGTTTTAATGAAAAGAAAGGGTAAGAGCCAGGCCTGAATTTTCCATTTTCTACCTGGCTGCTATACTACCAGTGTTGACTTAAATAAATGGTTAAGTGCCTGTGAGAAGGATGGTGAGGACAGTCTTTTGGCTTGAATAAAGGTGCGAGATGAGTTGGGACCGAGACGAGATGTCCAAATTCCCAACAGGCCCGTTAGAAGTGGGAGAAAACGGAGGGAGGAAGTCACTGAAACCTTCTGATCCAGGCAGCCGGCTCCGTGGAGCAGCGGGACACACAGTGTCGGGACACACAGTGTCAGGACACACAGCGGGGAGGTTGCGGCGCCCTCAGGCCACGTGTGGGGTTAGTCCCTGCTAGATGGGAAGAAGGAGGCCTGAGAGGTGAGATGGGAGGTAGCTCCTTGTCACACGGCCACTTTCTGGACTTGTCAGTTATCACTTAATGGGATTTTGTTAGATGTTGATTCCCTTTCTTTCTAGATTTTAAAGCTATCATTCGGAGTTAAATATTTGATGCAATAATGGCTCATACTGCTCTTAGTGGTTGTAGTGTTCATATAGCTGTTAAGTATCTAGCAGAGTTACTGTGTGTCTTCAGTACTGTAGTTCCTTTTCTGTAATCAGGCAGCTTTTACAGGTTTTTAATAAGACCTCTAACTTGGCAGAGGTTTTAACAACAGATTTATGTAGAATCCAAAGTTCAGGTAGAAAAATAACTTCACTTAAGTTTCACAGCCCTTAAAACGTACTGGTAGGAATCTGGAGGGGAATGTTTTTCCTTTCCCCTCTTCGACTTAGTGTACACTGTAAAGTCTGCACAGAGATTTCTGATGCGTGAAGATTTAGTTTTAAATACGTAGAACCAAGAACCTTCTTTAAACATTCTATATTGTGTGCTAAATATTCATATGCCTTTGAAAGTCAGATATAGTCCACTGCATTTCTTGCTTTTGCACTACTAAAAAAATTTTGTACCGAATAGTAGGAGCCAATGCTACTTACACTTGAAGTGTGGTCAAAGGAATTTGAATAGAAAATATTTTCACAGTGTTAGAAAACTTCATTCTCCCTTCTGAAAAAACAAACAATGCTGAGCAATGCCTGTGCCAAAACTCTTGTGCTGTAAACTGAATATATAATTTGTGTGGAACATGCAATGTTACACTTCTGTGTGGTTAAAACCTTGCAGTGTCAGTTATTCTCTTTATTGCACTTGACATAACGATGTCTTGTTTTATTCACACTGTGGATTTGATTTTTCCAGTGTAAAAAAAAGCAAACGAGCAAAAAGAAACTGTGCAATGTATTCAGTTCCTTAATTGGTGTCATAAACTTTCTTTTGATGTGAACTTTTTCCTTTGCTTCTCTTTGTTCTAAACTTCTATTTTGCAATAAACATTTTGACAGTAAATTTTATGCATCTGTGTTCCTGTGTAAAATGCCAGTGTTTCAAGAGGTTCCTTATTGTCTGCTGACAATTCATGCTACTCAGTGTGACATTTGTGCATTTTTTCTCCCTTTAAAAAAAAAAAAAAAAGAAAAAGAAAGAAATTGAAATAGATAACATTTTATGTCACTTTTTAAAAATGGGAAAAGCTGAAAAAAGCAAGTCCATTGTGCAAGCAAAAATACAATACTGGCCTTCTGCAATAAGCTGTTTGACCATATAAATCATTCTTAGGCTCCTCACGTAAGAGCAGCCACTGTGTCCCCAAAGATCTGTGTGGTGGCCTCGTGTCCTCCCTCGGTGCTGCTGGTTGCCCCACAGCCTCCTGGACAGGCTTTTACCATAGGGGCAGTTAGCATAGGGATATGCCTGACCAACAGCAGGTGGGTGACAAGATTGGCTGGAAATATCATGTAAAGGACCAAAAAAGACTGAAAGGCCTCTCTTTTTTTTTTTTTTTTTTTTTTTTTGTTTGTAATTATTTTTTTTTCCTCTGGCAAACACCTGCTCCCGTGTGCCACCTCACTGAGCCGCCTTTGGCTGTGTCCACTTGGGGGAGGCAAAGGGATGGGTTTGATGGGCCCCTAGGTCCTCCCACTGAATTGGTCTCGTGGATGGTTTGTGGCCAGGAAGGTTTCACTGAGCCACTGAAATGAGGAGGAGCAGCTCAGAAGAGAAGTCCTCAAACGCTGCATGGGGAGGGACAGCAAAACCTCATAGCTGAAGAGGCAGAGCTCAGAGGATGCAAGGGCGGTCATAGCCCTGTGATGGGGGTATCCCATGGGTGCTGCAGAAGCAGTGGTTGGAAGTTGTGGGCAGGTTACACTAGACCACGGTCTCAGTGCTTGAAGAACCTGGGAATAGTTCATTCTGGTGTGTAATGGGCAACTGTTGAGCATGGGGGACATCAAAGGCATGGGTGAAGTGCTGGCCTGGCAGAGGCTTGCTTGGCTGGTCCTTCGGGGCTGGGTTCCTTGAAGACCCCCAGGGCTCACATTGCATATTAACAAACCTCCCAGGTGGGTAGGTAACTGAGCTGGTTCTCTCTTAAGCATGCGCTATATATATTGAATAATTTTGTAGCTGTATCATGCTGTTGAGTAATTGGGAGACATTGGCGGTCCAAATATATTCAAATTAATGTCACCTCCTTAGCTGGATAAAAATGCAAAGGTGAAATTTGGAATAACGTGCTTGAGTGAATGAAAACAAAACAATATCACAGTAAGATCCTCTGTTGTGTCAGTCTGGGAATCATCCCAGAATTTCACCTAACAACACATCTATCCTCTTGTGCATCTTCATGCTACAAGAGCTAACACCATCTCACATACCAGCTCTCCCTGGCGTGAGCTGTGTGTGTGGCGACGGGGTCGGAGGTGGGAAGTGCTGCGTTTGCAGAGCCTCAGGGCAGTGGATACGAAGCCTGGCAGAAACCAAGAGACCTGTCTGTGCAGGACGATGAGCCACGGTGGCTCGACTCCAAATTCTGTTTTCAATACTGTTTAATGACATCTTCCTTCCTTTTGCAGAAAATATCCCCTATTCTGGAGCGTGCTGTGATCACAGCACTCCTTTAATTGCAGAAATTGAGTGGTACCAAGTCTATGACAAAAGCAAAATCCTTCCCATAATGTCAGAAAAAAAGAAGAGAGGGAGACACCTAGAGAGTCCCTCGTTATTGGACTGTTTTGTTTTGCTTTCTAAATTGTTTTTATTGGAGATCTGCTGGTGATTTTATCTCATGAAAGTGATGGGATCAATTTATTACTGCTATCATGTTATAGGAGCCAGCCAGTGATCAGTTTGAATGCAGGATGTCCCTTTTACGTGAACTGCTGTCTGGTGCCCTCACTACAAGATTTATAGGCTAAAGTCCTCCCCTTTGCAAGAGAAAAAGAATGAAATAAAATCGGCATTCAGAATATAATTTGGGCTGGAAGGGAGAGAAGCAGTCAGATGGTTTTCTTTTCAATCCATGTCTCTCACACAGTTGCTGCCCTCCTTTGATATTTGTGCATGGACTGAAGAAGATGTGGTGAGTATTAACGGGACCGGTGCTGTGCTGCTCTAGGTCCATAAGGTATGGTCAGTACTGAGGAAATGTCACCTAGATCAGAACACCCTGGTGAGATTTTACCACTATTTCTTTGCTTTTATCCTAAACAGACGACCACAGATAAATTAAGTGCTTAAGTGGCCTTGATAGATTAGTCACGTTCTCCAATGCCCACAAAATAATGTGTTCTGGGAGTCCTGTGGAAGGCAGAACGTGTTTGAGTGTCTGCCCTATTGCATGCCACCGTATGGCAATTCAACTGGAAGTTAAGGTTTCTAGGAATGTGGGGTATCCCTTTTGTATAAAACACGGCATCCCATCATCTTTTTACCCTTTTTATTTCAGCTAAAATGCTAAGCAAGAAATGTCGCTGATTTATCTCTAATATGTTACTGTGTCATGGTAATTTTAACGTCCCTCTTTGTACCACACATGAAGAGGGTTCTCGGTGTGCTTGTTTAACGAAAGGATGCCATAGGACAGGCTGGGAGGTCAGAGCAAAGGCTACCTGACTTCAGCTGGTTTATCATGTGGCAGATTGCTACGTGTTTGCTTTGGGCATTTCTGTTGTTCCCAATAACGAGAAAGTAAGGATCCACAAGGCCACAAAATAGAAGGCAATTTAAAAAAAAAGATAAATAAGTGTACAAACTCATACTGTAGAACCCTGAGTCCCTTTCCCAGAAATACTAGAAATATTATTACCTTAGAAATATTTTAGATTTCTGTATTTTTTAAACTAATTATGCCGGTGGATGCCAAATTGCTGTAATATAATTTTTTATTAAATGAACTTAAATTTTATTCCTTTTTTTTGCAGTATTTTTGGATGCAACAACTAACTAAAAAAGGTAAAAGCTGTTCATATGTTCATTTATGTTCATACTCATGTATAAATATAAATTTGTTCATATCTTTTTTTTTCCCCTTCAGTGAAAAGCCCTGTGGATTTCTGAATAACCTCTCTTATCTTAAGGTGATGCTTCTGGTGAAATGAGTGTATATGCTAGCTTGTTTAAGGAACATCATATCACTGGGAAAAGATTGCTTCTTCTAGAAGAAGAGGATTTGAAGGACATGGGAATTTTTTCCAGGGGACACATCATTCATTTAAAGGTATCTAGTAGCATAAGACTGCTGTAGAATATAGTGCCAAAAAATCAGAGCTGTGCAGAACCCAAAGCAAACCCTAATGTTTTCTGTGCCATGGAAATGTTCTGTGATCTTCACACACCGTGTTTGCTGGAGACAGGGGATGATCAGACTGGTAAGGATTTTTCTAAGAGGACCATTCCCCCAACAGAAAGCTTTGGGTATATTTTAAGAATGTGTTTTCATAAGATTTCTCTTTAAGAGAGGATCAAATAAGGAAAAAAAGGTTTTTTTTTTTTAGCTGAAATCTCTGAACTGAAGTCTCTTTTCAAATTTTGCATCTCACCTCTAATAGAAAACTGTTTTGACTAAGACAACTTGCTTGGACAATTGCTTTGTGCAATTGCAGATTGCTTTGCTTTTAGAGCTTTGCTTTTGGTATTTTAAACGTTTAACGTTTGCAATGAATTCAGAAAATCATGGTCTAGAAAGCGTGATCACAAGAGCAGTAATAGTATTAATACTGTAGCCACAGGAGATGCTTTTGTTTCCTAGCAGTCAGCTTTGAAAAAAAGATTTTTCTAAAAGCAGCATTTGGGATTCTGTTGGGTCTCAGTGATTTTATACTACAATTTACTAGCAAGGAGATACTTTTATCCTAGCTGCTAATCCTGCAAATTTAGCCTCAGCTCCGTAAGTCACACAGATTTATTCCCCCCTTGCTCATCAGCCATTGTTTCCATAGCACACACCATTACTGATACATTTAATTTACATTTCCTACAGGGAAAATTACTGAAATTTAATAAAGTCAATGCCCAAAATGAAAGATTTCAGCTCCCTCAGTTGGCTGAACATCAGTAAAAACAACCAAAACAACCCTCCAAACATTTATTTTTTTCTGATTAAGCAGATCTGGTTCTGAATGCTAGATGGGGTAGAGCTACCAGGACACTTTCCAAGGCAGAACTGTATTTTAAGCTATTCTTGAACACCTTATATCTCCACCATGAAAAATGCAATGCACACTGTACTGCACTGTTTTTCAAACTGGTATTTACAATGTTAGATAATGAATTACTCTCATCTGATTTTTTTTTTAATAGATTGCTATTGAGAAGTTAACCCACGACTACCTAAATCTCTTTCATTTCCCACCGTTAATTAAGGCAAGTCTCCTCGTTCACACAAGAAGTGTTTCTCATTTGGGTACAAATATTTTCCCCAACTTTGCTGCTGTTCCCTGGCGGATGGGCTGGTCGCACGGAGGGTTTGTCCCCGGGGCTGCTCTGCACCCAGCAGAGCAGGGGGATGTCTGAGTGTGGCTTCTTGCTCACTGGTGACTTTTGCCACGGGAAAGGCCAGTCCTTTCTCCTGCAGCAGGCCTGGGGTCTGCCTCCAGCACCAGGGCTCTAAACCTCTCCGCTCTGTTTCCTTGGCAGGACTCTGCCGGTGGGACTGAGGAGAACATAGAGAAAGTCGTGAATCTTGAGCTGGTGTTTGGTTACCACCTAAAGCCAGGAAGCGGGCCACAGGTAAGGTGGCTGGGGTTGACTGGCTTGGTTCGCTTTTTAGGCACTGCCTGGAGGTCCAGGATCTCTGGAAATACTTTGTTGTCAAAAACCTTTTGCATTGGAAATCGCTGAACAAATGTCTAGGTAGGAAATAGCACTGAATCAGTGATGGGGAAATGCGCCCAGGAGGAGGCTACAAGGAAAACAGTGGCACAGAAGCCTTGGATGTCAGCTTTTGTTTCTCATGAACATTTTTACTAACTGTAGTTTTCGTAATTCAGCTTTTTGCTTGGTTTCCTTCATGCCAGTGGGTGTGAAATAATAATAAGGGATGCCACATCCTAATCAAACGTGAGCTCCAAGCTGTGTCTGTTCAAGGGTCTCTAGTTAGACCTGGGTAACCGGTGTGCTGCCTGCTCTCTCCAGATGTTCCAGGAGAGCATTCCCACCGCATTGTCTTTTGCTGGGAATGGGGTTTGTCCCACGCTTTCCGTTTTCTTTATTCAGCTTGCCATGGACTCTGAGTTCAAGCGTTTCAGAATTAATCAGCTATGTGGAAATGGTGTGCAAAGCATTTTCCGAGTTAGAGTCAGGGGTTGTGACAGCAGGATTTGTTTTCTTTTGTGTTTCACAAATCTGCATTATGTGTCCACCCTAAACTTGTGGGAGGCTGACTTTCATCTTGTGTTATCTGAGTGCTTTGCTTTTAGGACGTATTATTTGTAGAAGTCTCTTGATTTCTGTACTTGGTGGTGCTTGCAGAGGAAGCATTTAGGTTTGTACTTGGTAGGAACTTGGACTCGTATTGAAATCATTTCATCAATTTGAAAGAGCTCTCTGCTTTGTTGTCTGGAGATGGCTTTTTCTTTTCTTTTATCGTAAGCACTTTTTTCCCTATGAAAATCTTCTTCATCACAATGTGAATTACTTGGTCTTTCTCAGTATTCTTGAAAGCATGTAACTTAGGATGCTATATGGTTGCTTTTTTCTACACTTAATTTTTCCCTTCTCGTGTGCAGCTGTGTAAGGAAATGAAAGGCAGTGCCATACTACTCATCTCCCTCGTGTTTCCAGTATGGGTTGTGGAAAATGGTGCAGGAAGGTGAGCAGTCTCCCCCAGGAAAAAAGCAAGGCAAGAAAGGAACAGAGCTGAGAGTGTGGGAGGGAAATACAGGTTGCATTAATGCCTACTAAATTTGAGGACAAGTGTACAAAATATTTTGGCTGTGACAGAAAAATTTGCAAATGGAACCATGTGCCAAATCCTGTGGAATAGGGCTAAATTGTTACTAGAGGATGGGGCTAGTTGAATGGGAATGTAGTGCCAACATAACCTTCACAGGTTTCCCATATACTGACTGCAAAACTGACAGAGGGCGTTCTTTTTCAGTATTTCGGTTTTTGGAAGTGTTTTTTTTTTCATCCTCCCTTTCCCGTGATCTCCTAGTTGGTCGTCTTTGCTCTGTGTGGTGCTACGCTCCTTCTTCAGGAAGTAATTTTTGCCATAGTCATGTGCCACATGTTAGATCTACCTTTCTGGGATTCCCCTCTGTTTAATGATTGTGCCACCGATGTGGGGCTCAAGGAGCCTATCTGAGAATTTATTCTTCAGAGATCTACTTGATAGCCCATACATGACTTTAAAAATGCTGCAGGTAACCCAGTTAATAAAAGCGGATGGCAATGACTAGCCAGGTTGAACTTTCAAGCAGTACACTATGGCCAGTGCCAGCAGGCTAATTTGTTTGAGTGAGAACTTCATTTACCCAGGACTGGTAAGGAACCGTGTGATACATAAGATGCTGAAAATTGGGCAAACTTGATTCTTTGAAAAACCCTGGATCTTCTATCATAGAGGCTACTTTAAGGCAACTACTGCTGTCATCACCAGATTTGTTCTGAAATAAACTGGAGGTTTAGGCCAGAGTGGAAGGGATTAAATTTCTTTTACTGACTCATTTTTATAAAAGAATGCTGGATGTGCCTTTAAACCTGGGTGGCAAAAATGCTTGGGGATCACCTTCCACCATCTTTCTAGCTGAGAAGGTGGCCTATATCAGTATAAAGAATAAATTCCTCAAGATAACTTTATGCTGGTCACTCCCTGTCACAGGCTCTCTAGCTAAGGAGCATTTCTCCCATTTCAGCCATGAGGGAAACAAGGCAACAAGCTCAAACCTAGGCCATGGCTTGTGAGCGGTGAGTTCCCGGCTGCTGGGTAGGCTGCTAGGCCTGTGCAAGTGGAAGGAGCTTATTAGGGGCAGGAAGGATCCGCTGGTGCTGGGTGCTTTGCTCTGCCCTGGCTCAGCCAAGTGTCCCAAAGCGGCTGCAGGGCGGCTCTTGGCTGTTTCCCCTGTCAATGATCCCGGAGGTGGCTGGGCGGACACTCCTGGTGAACAGCACCAGGGTCGGACACACAGTCCTGGTCCAGACATGAGCGTTGGTGTCGAGGTGGCCCCGGAGTGCAGCGGTGTGCACCGCAATGCCACGAGGCTGTAAGTGCGCGGGAGGAGCCGGTGCAGGGGCCAGCAGCCCTCCGAGGGCTCCTGAAACCATCTCCCGCGAGCACAAGTGCCTTCTCCAGGGCACTGCATGCACCATTAAATCTTCACAAGCAGACAGCTGCATAGCAAAAAAATAGGGAGCTTAATAATGCCAATGTGTTTTAACAAGAATCCCCGTAAATAAACTTTAGGATGCCATTTGAATATTCAGCCTTGTCTATGTGCTAAATGAAACATTGACTTCCCAGTGTATGCAGTTTTGCCATCCTAGAATTTGTCATCTATTTTAAACTGCCTCTGCTGGAGGAATTATGTTGGTTTCCATCAGCTGGTAAATGCAGTCATTTCATTACAGTTTTCTTCCCTTTTCTGCTGCATCTCTAGAGGTAATGAAAGCTCGGCTGACCTCTGTGCTCTCCGAATGCATCAGGAGTGAGCGCTGCAAAGCTAACCTGGTTTTTAGAGGTTTCTTTTCCAACTCTCGTAGTTCAAGTTATGTGGTTACTTCCATTTACTTCCTTTTAATGACCCTTTTGTACACAATTCCCACTCAGCTAAAAGGTGATAGATTTAAACATTTTATATGAATTTTTATTCAACAAATAATAAAAAAAAGGGGGCCCAATTAACTCCAAGATACCAAAGGGGGTAAAAAACAAACCCTGACAATTGTGGCTTGAGCTGATTCGCAGAACTGCAGAGTGAATTTTCAATGGCTTTCTCATCCTAGGTGGCTCATTAAAATTTCCCAATCAGGGAAAGGTGTCTGAGCTGTGTCGGCTCCGCAGTGATGAATCATCCAACCCCTTAAGAAGGATTGCTCACAGTCTTTTTGTCTCCTGTTGATGCATTCTTTAGTTTTGGTCCTCAAAAGGGCAGAGTTTCACCATACCTTTGAATGTTTTCATTTTTACTGAGTGTGGCACAGTCTGACCTATATCCAAATGCAAAGCTTTGAAGTTGGCTCACCATTTTACCTCTTTTTTCCCCCAGTTACCTCTTGCTCCATTTGACAAGGTAAGGAGCAGAACCTCTTCAAAAACATCTGCTAACTGTGTGAACTGTACTTTAGCCCTGAATATCCAACCTGGGATATATTTTAATGCTATTATTTAAATGTGTGGTGCAAAAGTGTATGTTGTAGTAGGGCTTCTTCAAAAAGACCTTGTGATCTGCCCTGCGTGTGGAGAGACATGGGTTGGTACAATACAAGCAGTATCAGACAAAATGGTGCTAAAAGAGGTGTTTTAACTGGAATGCATTTTATGAGGTGGTTGAGACTATTTTTACTGCTTCTTCCTTTCCACCTTTCCACTACATGGGCACAAATGAAACCTTTCTTTGCATTCTTAAAGTTAATTCCTAGTGAAATAGGACAGATGTGGTATGACATCATCTGTTTAATTAGCTGTGTAAGATACTCCTCATGTTAGGTTGGTTACAAACATGGCAAAAACATGGCAATGATCTGGTCCAAAATATAAAATTCCAGTTCTGTAGTTTTCAGATGTTCACCACACACTGTTCATATTTAAAAAGTAAAGCTAGAAGAGCATTTCTTGTTATCTGCCCCTTCCTTTGAGAGATACTTGCAAGTACCTTGACTTTCTAACATGCAGTTAGACTTGCTAACATGCGGTCTTACCTCAAAACCTCAACATCTCAGACCTATCTTTTTAATCTATCTCAAAGCATTAAGAATGCAATAATGGGATCAGCAGTGTTTGTGGATCGTTCTCAAGGACTTGCTCAATTTCTAATAAGTAGTCATTAAAGAGGTAACTGCTCTGTGAAGAGAAACTAAGGATATAAAATAAAACCAGAGCTATCTTTAAATAAAACTAGCAACATTCAGCACTGGTTAATTTATTCCCCCAGGGAGGTGCATGGGTGACCGGGTTACTGGCTATAGTTGTTCAGTGGAGGTGATGTGGGCTCCTTGTGTTCTCTTTGCAAGGGGATGGCAGGGCCACGTGTTGTTTTCGTGCAGGTGGAGCTGGTGTGGCTCCACCATCCCTGCAGGATTACAGCAGCTAGCTGCTCTGCTGGCCACGGCTTCAATGTACCTGAGGTCAGCTCAAGCCAGCACCCTTGTAAACTCCTGCGTGCACAGTGCTGAGCCTGGAATTCCCATTGGAGACAAGCTGCTTCTCCTTAATCCTGAGGAGGTGTAGACTTCGTTAGGTGACTCACGCGCTCGACTTTCTGGACGTTTTTGATCTTTATCTGTACACCCTAGCCACTCTGAGTTAAACTGCTGCCCTCCGCACGTCTCCCTCCCAGGCAGCGCCGCCTCTGTGGCGGGCAGGTCCCCAGGAGCTCGAGGGGTTCACCATTTTCTGTGGGCTTGCTGTGCTGCTCGCCATGGGGTGGCCTGGGAGCAGCCCCGTGCTCAGGCACACGCGCACGGCACGAGCCAGCAGCGCTGCCCGGCGCTTCCCGCAGCACTCCTCCCCGCCAGGGCACGGCGTCTCCTCACAGCGCTCCCCTTGGAGACCAGCACTCTCCAGGGACAGG